CATACTGCCTCCGTCATCAGGTCGATGAATACACAGCGCAACAACCCAGAAGACAGAAATCTTTGAGTTTGAATGTTTGCCTGGAGACTGTCTGTCCTGACTGAGGTTTTTTTTTTTTGTAGTTTCCTCAGTCCCTCCAGGCTAATCCTGGGGTAGTACCTTACATTAGGATACAACTGACAGTTTTGTTAAATAAAACTGCAAATATATCACAGCTTCATTGATGATTCCTTTCAGTACATAGTACCACTGATATAGCAGATCTTTGTCTTGAAGACTAACTAATTGACAGGGCAAAAAATGTTTTTCCTCTGAATAAGTGGAAGATGGCAGAACAGGTTAATATGGTGAGATTTTAGATTCTTGTGACAGTGAATATGAAGACGGCTGTCTTCGGGAGTGCTGTGCAATGTAGTCCGAAAGATATTGACTGGCATTTCATCGCCCAAATAATGGAGGCAGTAAGCACCTCAGAAACTTGGAGTCAGTATCTGCCAGACTAAACAGTGCAACATCTCAGAAGACAGCCAGTTCAATTATTTATTTCCTGTAAGAATAAAAAAAAATAACTGGCTATCCTGGAGTCATTATGTAGTCACAATACTAAGGATGTTCTATCTGAAACAGGCATATGACAATGAAGATAGCTCAGTTCGCAAATCAGCCGTGTTCTGCATGGTGGCTTTGCACTCGATAGTGGGAGAGGATGCATTGCAGCCGCACCTTGAGGCTCTGAATGGCAGCAAACTGAAGCTTCTGCACTTGTACATCAGACGTGCACAACAGGGATCCTCTGTACCCACCTCCCCCAAGAATGCCCCTCCATAATGAGATTGCAGGTACACCGTCTTTCCTTTCCATGAGACACTTGCTAGGTGATATACTTGTAATATTTCTGGAATAATTAGTTTGATTCCGATTAATTATGTGAGAAAATGTTTCTTGTCTAAATTCTTGTAATACTCGTAGTACTGTTTTTATCCTAAATGACTGTAAGATGAATTGTTATGATTTAATCTTTGTTTTAAATGTTTTGCTCTTTTTCTGCATTCTCGAGACACCTGTTCTTCATTTCAAGATGATGTCTGTTAATAATGATTTTTCCTACTGCATATTTGTGTTCTTTTAGCTTTTTTAATTAGACCATCTGCAATTGCAGGTCATTCTTTCACTTAACTGTTTATTATGAAGTAAATTTTACTTTTCACAATTTCCTTCTGTATGGAGATTCAAATGGTAATTTGGAGGAGAGTGTGTTAATGATCAGTGGCGCAATGGTATCTTTCAGTACCTGCACTTTATCAGAATAGTCCCTCTCTAAACATCTTGGATGCTGTGTCCCTATCAGATAGTTGTGTGCACTTCTTCTGTTGTGGAGAAATACATATTTAGATATATTTTCTGGGAATACAGTCTTCTACATTACCATTTGACTCTCTGAGCAGGGTTTTAGAAGAGAGCTCTGAATAACGAATGTTACTGTGCAACAAACACTGAAATGAAAGAATGATTTGCAATAGTATGGATGGTCTTGTCACTTAAATTAAAGGAGCACATTAAAAAATGAAAAATAAATCAGCAGTATTTAGAGATAGCATCTTGCTAAAGAGAGCAGGTGTGTGAAGCGTTCAGCATGTAGAATACAGAGATTAAATTGTATGAACTCGTTTTATATTGATTTCGAATAAAACAGTGCTGAGTATTATTACACAAGTTTAAACAATAAACATTTTCTTACAAGGTTGATCAGCATATCAAACTAGTTGTTACGCAGATATTTCAAGGTTGTAGAACGTATTACAGGAAAAATAAATTATGAATTGAAAAAGTAAATATCCACATTTATAATTTTTGCAGTGAAGTTAATATCAGAGGGGAGATAAGTAGAACAGTGAAGTTAACTTTTATCACTTCGTGAAGGGATAGTTTTTTAATACACAGGAATGTGACAGTTGGAGAGGAATTGGAAATTTGTCGTTGCTTGACCTCTGAGGCTCCTGCTCGGACTTCAGATCAGGGATGTAATGGTTTGTTGCTATGCTGCTACTGCTATACACAGCCATCTGGACTGCATGTAGGCTGTTGTTCAAGTAGTAAGTAAAATATCTGGAATTTGCAGTCAGAGACAGCGGAATCAAAGGACAAATGAGATCAAGATGGGTTACACAAGTGATATTAAAAATGGAGGTAAGGTGTGGACTGAAGAAAAAAATATGGTTCGATAGACATGATTGGAGACTTTTCATCCATCGATTCACACTCCTATGGAGACAGTAATATCAAGGACATCAGGGAAGTTTTGTCTCATTAATAAGATGTACGTATAGGTCTGTAAATTGTAATTGGATTTAAGGCCGAGCATGAGTATATACGGTGCTCATTGATACATGATTTTCTAAGTATGCATTAGAAATCTTAAAATGAGAAACATCTTGCTATATAATGTGCTGCAGTAAGACACAATATGATTAAATTAGGAAAATGAGACAGTTTGCATTACTGGTAACTTATTTTTATTACTGCTGAAATACAGAATTTGCGTAAGTACAACGTCTCACTGTTATGACTAAGTTTGCATGCGCTGGGAGATGATATTACTATTCCTGCAAGAAATGAGAGCATGAGAAATGTGAATTTGCTGTTCTGTGAGTGGGAGTAACGTAGAGGTTAGTCGAAGGGGGACGAATGGCCACGGCCATCTCCGTGGTGTGCGTCAGGCCATTTGCTTCCATAGGGAAGAGATTAAAAAATGTTGAATGTTTTTGTTATTCTCCATGTGTTGTACCAACAGAAAATTTTATTGAAAAGTACTGTTACTCCGATGGTGTCCGATGTTTGTACTGATGGTGTTACTCTTGATAGATAATAGGGGGGGCTAACACTGATAACCATGCACAAGGCTCTGCATCTGCTGGAAGAATGGTCCTGGGAACAGCTGTGTTCTCATACATGTATTCAGAGGATTGGACATAAAGGTTCTTTGCATCTCTCTCTATTAATGCTCCCGATGAGTCAAGATATAAGAATGCTGTTTTAGCTGTAGTTCTCATTTTATGTGCATAGAATGGAAATAAACAGGTAAGACTTGTTGCCAAATATGTATCATGTAAATCCAGAAATGGGAGAAAAGCACTTGTTACAGCAGAAATTCTGAAAAAAGTACCCATGACTGAAGTGTGTTGCTGTGATTCGACATAATTAAATTTGTGTGTATAAAAATGATGAAGTTTGATTCGCATTATAGGCTGTAGCTGTTACATCAGACTTTTGCCATACTTCATACTTGTTGAGATTAGTTCTATCACGTATTTTACGTTGTTTCAGAGGGCCACAGTATTTGGGTCATGCAAATGTAGCGTAATTATTATTTAATTAATTATGGGCTGGAATGAATGATGCTTCGTGCTTCAGTTTATTCTGTTTTGGTTTGGTTTTTGGAAAAAACTTCTAAAGAATCTGCCCTCTTTGCATTGTGCATGCTCTGTTTTATATAAATTAGTGAAGCCTCTCAGCAAGTGTCTTAATTCACGAGTGTTCATTCAGACCGCTTAATCCATTTCCAAGCATAATGCTGTGAACCTTGAAGTGCAGGTACAGAGCTGACTATGAAATATTCATTATACACACTAGATTACATGAAAATATCAAGTATGCACATAAACGTAAGCACACTAGATTACATGAAAATATCAAGTACACACATAAACGTAAGTGAACAGGATGTAGCCCAAAATAAGGCAAAAACTGACAGGCATGTTTTCTGTATTTCATATTGCTCAACTAACCAGGCTTTGTTTCTGAATCATGACGCATTAGAACAGTGTAGAGAGAGTTAATAACAACTTTTTATTGCACTATGGTGTGTTGATTTAAATAGCAGCAAGATTAATTTGAATATATTTTGTTCTGTTCCATTAGAAAAGTGGATTTCTTGTAAATTTTCAATAGTGGAAAACGCTGAGATAACATATTCTAACAATATTGCTCCCATAAAAATGGCTGTGCATTGGTAAGCCTGTCTTGATTAGCATTATGAAGTATAAAATATACTTAAACACACAGGTGGTTGCAGTTGGTCATATTTTTATTATTTCTGACAATATTCATGCTGTTTGCTGAAACATGTATGTCATTTCCATCTGAATTCACTCTGTACTAGATTGAACCTTTTGATCTTGTTGAAATAAGAACATACTGTCATCTTTGTAAGAAAGGAAAAACTGGAAGATGGCTGTCTTCTAGGTTGTTTCGCCATGTCTGATAACATTGGCAAGCTTCTACCAGGTGACATGGCACAACACCCCAGAAGACAGCTGTCTTCATGCTTGCCACCATGAGAACCTTAAATCTCACATGGAAAGACTTGATTACAATGCATTTTAATTTCAAATTATTTCTGGGTGTTTGCTGCATGTATGTGATACAAGCCATTGCTGATTTATTAGTATTGTAAGTAACATTGAGGATAATAATTAATAAGATGTAAAAAAACACTTAGTGTAGATATTTTGAGGCCTTTCTGTGGATGATATAGTGAGTTACAGGAACACTGTGATGTGACCATCGCTCGGCTATTCTTGTCCAGATTTGCGTTTCGCAAGAGAGAAACGGGATGGTACACTAAGGGAACTTGTTGCAGTGGTGCTAGTCAAAAGAAGCTAAGATGGCCGCTGTTTTAGTTTGAATCTTTTTTGACATTATTAACCCATTCAGTGCTTAACGTGATGTATTATTTGTCACTGCTCGGCATTGTGTGCGAGCGGTGGAAGGGTTAAAGCAATTTACATGTGTTTTATAAACTAACTGTTGCAAAATGAAAATAAGAAGCATTGTTTGTTGTCTGTGGGCTTTTGAATTTTGGTGCCATGTAGTCTTGTAGGTGGCTACTGACATTCTTCAAAAACATTGGTAACCATCCACAAGACTGCGTGCTGTGCAGTCAAGATCTTTGCTGCAAGAACCTTACATTTCAACAAATGTTGTTGCTTCAGTCTGCTTAACATACCAGTGTTACTGGGACTTGGCTTGATCTGTTGTATGTACTGAAATACTGCTGTCTCCAGGACTGGTGTAAGTTACATGCAAGGAACTGCAGAAGATTGAGTTAAAATAATTTTGTGTGCCATTTTTATAGCTGATGATGATATAGTGTATTGTTTTTTCCCCCCCAGTGTATGATCTGTTTGAGGTTTATTATATAATGTGAGACATAAATATCAAGATTTTAAAACAGTTGCTTTGTATTTTCTCTAAAATGACTGTGTGGTTATCTTTGCATTACATGTAATGTTGTGTTGCTGAAATATAGTGGGGGATTTGATACAGTTCAGAAAAGTTTATACTAGTGTGAGTGTGCATATGTTTGCATTATAACCAGTTGGAAGAATTCTTTCTTGCATTGTACATAGATTGTTTGTCTGCTCTTTGCTGTTGGGATTGAGACTGTACCATGTCACTTTTTTTTTCCGATGGTATGATAATGCGGTGATAACACAAAAATTGCTTCTTAGAGAGCTGCTTCTACATCATTTGGGATTTTAAGACATTATAATGTGCAAGTTATCAAATTGGCTACTTAACAACTAACAAATGCTAAGGTATTCTAGCATTGCTGATGTTTGTAAGATGAGAAACTATTGGTTTGATAGTTTGTGAGCTATTGGACAACATTCAGGTACAGTCTTATGAACTGACAGTGTAACACAATTTTATATATAGATTTGTTTATATTATTATGGTCAAATTAAGATTTGATAAAGAAATATTGAACTAATTACAAGTTGGTTACAAATCTGTATCTGTAGGATGTAGAATTTCAGAGTTAAATGTGGAACAAGTTGATGAGCTGTTTTCTGAATGGGTGGTTTTGTTAATGTATGCAAGAAATGTGAAGGGGTGATTCATAACTTTCAAAACCCTCTTATCTGTTGCTGTATGTTGCTCTATTATTTATAGATATCTAATAAAGTATAGCAGGCAAATGGCTTCAGGTCAGTAAAGTGTCATTTGACTGGAGTTATCCAGGTGACTTGCCTGCACCGAGTGAAAAATGTCAAGTTAAATTCTTGGTTGCAAATGATAGACTTTTTCACTCCCCGAAAGCCTGCAAAATATGTTTTCTGTCATTGGGAACATAGGCGGTGAGATGTGCATTCATACAATTTACACAACATTTTTGTAAATGACAACGAAATTCATTTCACTCATGGCATTGACAAAGATTTATATCAGATTTAAAGTAATCCACTTGACACAGTTTAAGGGTTAGGAGGAGGCAGATATGGTTGTTCACACACACACACATACAAATAAGTTTGTGATTCTAAGGATTTGTGACAGAATCTAGTGTATTTTTGGAGTATTTTCCTTGGACTTTATCCATCATCTGGATAAGAATTGTATGATACTTGGTAGCCAGAGTAATTTCATTTACTTTAAGCTTGAAAATGGAAACAAAGTTACCTTAGGTCTAGTGATTTAAACTACTATTATGCCACACAGAGTAGCCACCCCACTTTCATACCTGAAGTCAAAGATGGAGAAAAATATATGCATTTTATTCATATGATAGACATAATCCAAAGAAAATACTTTTAATTTATTTCCAAAGTTGTGCTGCATATTGCAGAAACTGATATGTTTGCCTGTAGTGTTTTACAGTCTAAAGACCAATTGTATACTGATTTTTGGTTGACCCTATATCTGACTGTAGGGATGTCAGTGCTCATTCACCACCATCAAGGATGAGGTGTCCTAGTAGCTGACATTTTGGAACATGATGTGTGTTGTGTATATTGCAAGCGCCAGAATATTTCTCATTAATGTAACTTATTAACAAAATATTACATAATGTATAATGATCAAATATTTAAAACTTAAAACCATTCCTTTCAGTTTGTTATGTGTCTGATTTTTCTGTTGCAGTCTGTGTCCTTTCCTGCTGTCCCCCTTAACCTTTGTTCTACTATCATCAGATGCCCTAAAATCAAAGTAAGATGTCTTACTTCTAAACATGTCACACTTTCTTGAATATTTAACAGTGATAGTGGTTGAAATATAATACCTCTTAATGAGACACTGAACTATTTAATGATCTTTGGAGAAATTATGAAGCTATGCATAAATTACGTAGCTACGTTCTGCTTTTAATGCTGTCGGTTGTTTTAAATTAATTGAAAATTTGCTTTCTCAAGACAGTGTATTATATTTTTCAGATGTTTAATTTCCTGTTGTGCAGTATTACTGGTGTAGGAGTGGTGTTCTCCATTTGTATGCGGTGTTAGCTGTTTTCATCATTGGACCCACACGAGGGTTATTTTGTGGACTCCCTTCGTACAGTTTCCAGTATAAGGACCAGAAAATGTACCACTGCTGCCTCCTACCACATTCCACCCTCTACGGTATTCACAATCATCTTTCCATCTTCCTTGATACTTTATAGCCCCTATATTGAAATAATATCATTAAATTACCTCAGAACCATTGAATCTACAAATAAGTTACTGCAAAGTTGTTGAAACTGCAGGGTCAGTAATTATTTTCATTATCTTTTATAGGTAAATAATCACCATATTAAAAAAATTGTATTTTATGCAGTTTTTTTTTACAAAGAAGCAATTACTAAAGTCTGATTTAGGTTTATTTAAATTAGTGCTTATATTGGGATATAAAAACCAAAATAAAGTTTGTTTGACAGTTTTTAGTTTAGATCTGCCATAAAGAATTGACGAAAATCATTTAGTAGTTTCAGAGATTAATATATGTGTGGGTTGTTGGGTACTGAATGTGTATATAGAAACTTTTACTCTAATGCCAGTGTTTCATTCATGTGGTCAAGTGAGTACCCAAATGAGGCTTTGTAAGTCCATTCATTGCAGTAGTTACTGGGTAAAAAGTACTAACATTAAGGATTGCGATATCAGGGGAGATATATTTACTTAAGAAATTTTTAATTCATCAGTTTAATACACGACTGTTCCTTTAAATTTCATGGATTTCCTCAGTCAGTGGTACTGAAGCTTAGAGTTTGGCTCATCAATTAATAATTTATACTAATTACATTTATTTATTTTTACCTTTAACCTTGCATAAATTTTTTTGTCATATTACTGTAGTTCTCATTGGTAAATCTTGACAACAAATTTTCCTGTATTTGTGTTCCTCTAATTTAAACTGTGTAAGGTTCAAAACAATTTATTGAAGTGTCGAAACAAGTTTAGCTGTTTCTTATTTCCTTGGACTAATTTCAGCTCAATTTATAAAGAAGTGTGTTACAGAGTTGGTTATCATGTCACTGTAAGAATAAAATATGTTGTGTAACTCCATCACTTGTGACAGACAGCTTGAAGCTTGAACCAAGATGATTGATGTAGCCCGATTAACGGTCTTCACAAAGGAACATGACTCGGCATGTTTTAAGTCCCGTTCCTCCACATGTACCGAGTCATTCTTAATTTACAAGGTTGCCGGGTCAGCACAGCTCACATTCAGAAATATGAAGCTTAATGCCATATTGTTCTTGCTATGAAGTAGAACATGGGCCCAAATTTCAACTTAATATTGGTATCCTAAGCTGTACTGCTAATGGAAGGACATGAACTTTGCTATGAGTAATTTCTGCTGAATACTGTCAGATCAGATTCATTTCATTCTACACATCTTTAGCTGTTTTAGTGGTTTTAAATAACTCAAAACTAAGTTGATCTAATGAATACTTCTCATCTTGTTGTCAGACTGCTGTCAGCTATTTCCCATGTGCGGATACTGAAGTAGACTATTTGAGGTGTGTGCACAGTTAACAGTAATTTTCAACAGCTGGAGGGTGAGCTGTTGAGGTCAGTGAACTCTCATAATAGGACAGCAGGCCAGCCTGCTACTGGTATAAATATTGTTTCAGCACTTCTGCATCAATCATACCTCAGGGAGTGCAACTGATGGCAGCAACAGTTGGAGTGGTAAGTCGCAGGACTTTTCTGGTATGTCTTTTATAGAGATAAACAACAAAATTTCATAGATAGGAAAATAATTTAAAAGTTAAAGCTTTCACAGTAATTGAATGCAATGAAGTGTGGGCACTGCTCTGCCTGTCATCAGGGTTGATGTTATGAATTACATGATGGGTTTGTACTGACCAGCTCTCAGAGCTCTGGAAATACTCATTGCCATTAATATTTCTAGAGTGCATGATAGTTGTTATTTTGTTATGTTCGGTTAGACAAAAGCAGTCTTGTGATGGAAATGGAAAATTTGTTCAACAGAATTCAAATCTTAACAGAACTTGTTTTACACAGGGTTTGCAATTAAATTATGGAAATGGTTACGGTAAAAGTGTTAAATTGTCATGGAAGATATTTCTAAGTTTTTTTCAAATGTATCACAATAAATAATAATATGAACATTTTATTATTGTATTGTTTATGGTTGATTTATAAGTGAAATTTTGTACCGTATGCAAGTTCAAGTATAAATTTCGGTATCTCTACCTGATACATGCATGTGAGTATGACTGAGATATAAAATTACTGATTGCTCATTTCTGTAGTCTTGGGCTAAGACACAGGATTGAGATCTGTAGCATTCACTTCTACCAATCCCCAATTTGTGGTTCATAACCCTAAGTCCTCTGTGCTGAATTGCCCCATCATTGGAGGCAATACAGTCTGCTCCGTGGGCAACTTTTCCCGTAAGTTTAGCAGAGGTCAGGATATATTGTACCATCCCTGGAAGGTGTTAAAACCCAACCAATTACACAGAATTAAAGGCCTACATCATAATTCTCTTTTCGTTCGTTCATTTTAAAAAAAATGTGAAGAAATTGATAATCTTTAATTTTATCTGACAGAATTAAAGGGATTGAAGAGAGTAAGGTCAAACTTCAAATTTGAAGCAACATGATTATGGCCTATGGTTTGTTGCTAATATGCATCACGCTCCAGTTGGTGACATCTCAGGCAAGACTTGAATTTGCTGACAACTCGACAAACCGAGACCAGCGCAGTGAGTTTCCATGTATTAATTTTATATGAACACACAGAGGTCAGACCCGGCTTGTGAACCTTGGACTATACCAGCTCGATGTATTAATTTTATATGAACACACAGACCCGGCTTGTGGACCTTGGACTATACCAGCTCATGGGTGAAACATACAAGATCTATATCCAGAAAATGATTATGCAATATGGGGAGGGGGGTGAAGAAAGATATGCTAAACCCAGTTTTAAAGCATTATCTCATGGATTCTGTAAGGTAACAGCTGTGTTGCTAACTAGTGCAAAGACCAAAGAACTGCCAAATGTAATATAGTTCCTTTACAGACTTATTAGTGGAGTGAGCATTAGATTAAAGATAATCTGTATGTCTGCTTTCTAATTCTGACACCTTGAGAGTTCCATACCAATTATACAACATAAGATCTAAAAAATATATATAATGTATGCTTAAGATTTAGCACTTAGTCATACCTTTATGATAGAGGCAACCAGTTTTATTTTGGGGTTCTTCCATTTCCCTTGTAATCCATTCCAATAGTCTCATCATTGTAGCCAGTATCACTTAGGGCAAATGACCTCTGTACTCAATAAATCAAACTTTAAATCATCACATCTTTGGGAATTCGTCATTGGCATCATCTGTTATAGACATACTGCTATACCAATCTCTGTTCATGCCCCCACGCCGACACCAGCCTAACAGTAATACCAACTCAAATATGGAAGAAGAGGGTGCAGCAACATCTCGGATAGAGAATATGGCATGCCGGGCACTGGATGGGACAACCGGGTTGTGTTACAGTAAGAGTGAATGCACAGAGCTAGATGGCAGGAGTGTTGGGCTGTGCGATGATGATACTGGAGAGGATGGTCCAATCTGCTGCATAGGTGAGGTGCACAAGCAGCATTTAGAAATAATCTGAGAGCCAGTCAGTCAATAAAGATCACAGTGACCTTTGGATATATGTATTAAGGTCATCAACCAGACTCAGAAGAGATAAGAAAATAAGCATTAAAAACATAAGATATCAATTAGATTATTAAGCAGTTGTTTGCACATGTTTGAGGTTTGAGGCTATTTTAACCAGGGAACACAACAGAGGGTTTCTATTCTCTCCTGTTTTACCTGAAGACAGAGGCAGAGCATCCTTCTGAAATGTTGTTTTATGTATAATTTAGACAATGTGCAAAGTCAAAGAAAATAATTTTGTAGGTTATAAAGCAACAGAAACCTGGATTTCATTTATCTCTTAGGTTACTGACACTGAGTCCAAGATCAGGTTATGTACTTCTTTAGTACAGATGTTTATTTCTTTCTAATGCCATCTACCTTGCTACTTCTCTATGATGCTTGTCTTATCCTTCAGTTGAGAAGAGCTGCCGTAACATAACAAAACAGGCCATTTCCTATTTTGTGAACCCAAGCTATCCTGACAGGGACCGTCTTGGATCCTTCTGTGATTTTCGCATTGACATCACCAACAAAAATGTCTGCCAGGTCCGGTGAGTGTGTGTACATATATGTATGATGACTTGGTATCTGTACTAACTACAGACGTCACGTCATGTTCAGCAAGATATACGATAAATAAATGTCTACATCCGTCTCTGCTCACTGAGTTAAAGTTACTTACCACAAATGACATCTCAATTAAAGCCAACATATTGCAGTCCAAGGGTACTGTAACTGTGTAAATTGAAATAAATATGATATTTGTGTGTGTTATTTGTATTGGTAGACTTGACTTGGAGGAATTCTCTCTGCTGGGACCTCATACAACTATGGGAATCTGCCGCAGCGATCGTTTTGTTGCCATGACATCACTGCCAAATGGCATAGGAATATCGGAGCTCTGCGGCGAAAATGCTGGACAGCACTGTAAGAGGTTTATTCAGATAATTTGTGTAATATTATTGGTCATTTGGTAACTTTTTAAATGATACCCCATATTATTTCTGCAGTGTATGTTCCTGTGGATGCAACTGTAGGCAGTGCATCTGTCTCTCTTATGGTGATGACATCTGGTGCCAAGGCCTACCAGTGGCATATCCGAGCCACTCAGATAGACTGCAGGACTACACCCGAACTTGTGGGTAAGTAAAAATACACTTTGTATTTATCACCTAATGTGTTATTTCTGAACTTCCTGCTGTCATGTTCCATCATTAGTTTCCTGACATTTGTGTTTCCCTTCCATATGGACATTAAAAGAGTAAGCTTTTTGGAAAGAACTGAAAGTGTCTGAATTTAGGATCAGGGTAAATATTGGCTTGTTTCCTGAATTTAATGTGTAATGTGTGCAGAACTGGTTTTTCTGTTATTTTGTAGCCCCTAATGGATGTCTGCAGTACCACACAGATCTCAGTGGCAACATCAGAAGCTTTAACTATGATCCAGCTGATAGTGGTCACTATCAGAGCAACCTAGACTATGCCATCTGCATCCAGCGATCCCCAAACACTTGCCGTGTTGAGTTCAACCAGGTTGAGAACTCTGTTTTCTGGATCAACACTGCAGATGGTTTGTGTTACAATTGGACAGAAGTTGTGGACATAAAACAAATAGGACCTACAACAGACTGGACAAACATTTCACAATGGAAAAAAAACAAAAAGTGGATGTAATGTCTGAGAACTCATTATAATCATATCCTCATTTTTTGTAAATCTTCTTGAAATTTGCAACTCTGCTAAAGAATTTCAGTCATGAGGTATTTTTACAATGAATGTTTATTTGTTTATAACCGTCTTTTTAAAATAGGATTTGAGGTTTTCACAGTGGTAGGAGGCAGCAAGGACCTCTGGAACTTTGGTAACTTGTACACGACTACATGGCACTGCATTTCAGAAGACTGTTGTCTTCATCCTTTTAAAATGTAGTAAGGTCTGATTTCAGAATAAAGAGTGCCTTTAGGACCGTAAATATACAAACCCTTGTCATTTCATTAATCATCCTATCATTCAGCGCTATATAGTTTGAGTTGCCGATGGCATCATGTCTCTATTTCAGCGTAATCATCCTATCATTCAGCACTATATAGTTTGAGTTGCGATGGCATCATGTCTCTATTTCAGCCTTCCAGTCTGTTGTCTTCCAAGGTTTTCACACTAAAATTTTATGAGTCTCTTGATTCATCTGATTATTTCAGGCATGTACCTAGAGGAGGGAGTGGGTCGTGCAGGTGCTGCAGCCTGTGACCTCAGCTCTCACGACTACCTGTACATCCCAGGTGGACGAGATGGGAGTGATGGGCAACCTGGAGGTGCTTTCTCTGAACCAACAGCAGACAAGTTCTGTGGACGCAGCTTGTCAGGTCTCGCAGTAACCGAGACCGCAGATCGAATGAGATCTGGCTATGTACTGGATCCACCAGACAATAACACTCTTGCCTCCACTGTTACAAGTAAGTGTAACATTGTATTCCTAACATACATGCAATCTTTCCCATCAAATCCTAATATACTCATATTTATTTTAAATCTGCTGTGTGGTTTTATCTGAAAATGGAGTCAATACATTCCTTTAAAATGCTGATAATGACTGGTAACAGGGCATCACTGCCCGGAAGATAACCTTTGACAAGTTTCACAAAGTCCTGATAAATCAGGTTTATTGATTTTTTGAATAACTTGTACAAACATGATCATACAGTTTTCTCTGCGCCCAGACCGGTTTTGGGGCCCACCCACTCTCCTATCCAGTGTGACTGCAGGATAATGTATTGGAAATATTAGAGGTCAGGGAATAATAAAGAACTATTGCTCAGTTTGCTAGAACATTTAGAATGGCTGCCTGAAAAATGGATTCTGAAACTGTTTTGTCATCATAAATAGGACAGTAGGTGAAAAGGACATCGAGTGAAAAGATTGATTTGATTATTCTAACTGGAATGAGCCAGACCTTAATCTGTGTTGATGAGGGTAACTTGCAAAATGCTCGTCCTTGTGCAGTTTCTTTTATTTTATGGTTTCTAAAAGGATTTTTAAATGTTTATGTGCACATTTCTATCTATTAAGCATTTCTTCTACACATCTTCACTCTTTGCTCATTAAACATACAAAAAAAAACAGCTGTTAATCCTTAGTTGGAATTTGTCATTGTTTCCTTCAGGTTATGCAGCAGGCCCAATTGTTCTCCGCTTTCATTCAGATGACATCATAGAACCAGACCAAGAGCTTGGCTTTGACATCATGTACAGACAACTGGGTACAGGTTGCATACGTTCACTGAAATAAGTGAGCTCGCCAATGATAATGATCCGGTGCTTAAGTCGTATTTCAAGACATTTGGTAGCACAGCAGTATATAAATTAAAGGATATGAATGCAGTTTGTACAAGTTTTTAATAAAATGACAAGGAGGAATTAAATACTTTAACCTTATTCTGATGCTATATAGTCTGAGCTACTGAAAAAGCATTGTTGAATAAACAATAAATAAATTTAATTTTGTACAGTGACCAGGATACAAGCTTGATGACTATGGTTTCGTTCCTGGCAGGGGCAAAATTCTTCCTCATTGCCACTGTGTCCAACCAGTTTCCAGGCAGAGATTTGAACCTTGGACATCCTGAATACAAGGAATGCTAACCACTTAGCTGTCCTAATTTTGTTAATTAATTAAGGAATTTCAGCAATCGTTAGGTCAGCACTGGTGAAGAACAATAGTTATAAGTTTATTATTACTATAGTATGACATGACGTAGCTGTATTTATTTCCCTGCAGCTGGCAGTTTCGTAACAAGGGGCTCAAAAAGTAAGCTGTATTCTCTATTTCATGTTAGAATAACTGCAAATAAAATAAAACAAGGCATTTTTATATATGTACATATATATATATATATATTATGCTGATCATCAGAAACTTGTGTCTCTTATACAGAGGAACATCCACTACCACTCCACTTGTACATAAGCATGTGGAAAATGTAAGCTGCAGCTTCTTCAGTAAAGTATTGCAAGTAAATGCATAGGTTGCTTCCACATTTGGGTTTGGTTACAGGTACCAGTATTGCCTGTATCGTTTTTATTTTCTGTGTTGATAACAAGTCAGGCTGGTGTATGGGCCGTTCAGCTGGTAAGGGAAGGCACGAAGGTGCTTTCATACCGCATTTACTACAGATATCTAGTGGAACTAATTATGTTAAAGTTAAAACATTTGATTATAGGTGTAGCGATAGGAAGAAGTTCCGACTTCGAAGCTTTGTAGATATGGTACCCTGTAAGTGTATTAAAATATGATACTCTTGTGTTGCCTTTGCAAGTTGAGAAATTATAAAAATCTTTCAGCCCATTATGTGAGTATCCGGTTTACAGACTTTGCTTGGAGATATCACATTTCTTCATTCTTAGTATCTAATTTTATGTGACGTGTGTGTCGAATGTTACATCAGGAGTAATCGTGGGTTTTCATTTATATATCTCACTTTTCTTTATTTTCCGTTGTTATCGATTGTTTGGGGCAAAAGTGTTATTCTAAACAGTACGATGTTTCGAGCGTTTCTTTCATGCTGTACTTTCTAAATAGTCACAATTTATTTAACTTACCAGACGTATAAAGGACGAGAGGACATGACGATCAAAATCATTTCTGACTGTTCGGACGCATCAATTTCTTTGCGTTATTTTGACATTCATCACGGCTTAATAGAATTTCTATCACGACAAAAGTGGTAAAAGCAGTGGCAAAGAGGTATATGTTTGTTATTTAGATGTTCTTGGTAGCCGAACTGTGTGCTCTTAGCAACAGTTGCAATCTGAATACAAACAAAGCGGTCAATCTTAGGTTAGGTAGTTCATTTTGCTGCAGTTTTGGTATGTAATTTGAAGTAAAATACAAATGTATAGATATATCACGACATTTTAACGTGCTTATTAAAATAGCTATGACACACAGTTGTTGAGGGTCTTTAGCCCCGCTGTACTGGGCTCAGTTACTCAGGTGTACAACAGCCATAGCGGACGAACTACCGAAACGTTGGATAATTTTGAAAATTTTACGCGGCTTAACCCCGAAAGCCGAAATTTTACCCTTTTTAGTGCACATTTGAATCATTCAAATTTTCTAGAGAAACTATCAATATGATTTTCACACAGAGTGCCAGTCTTTGGAGTACAGGTGGAAGTCTGTCTCAAAGTAACCCTAATACATTCTCTGTCATTTCTTAGCTGATGTTGATAAAAGTAAGAAGTCTAGTTCTCCACAGATGTGAGGCATTGTGTGTGTCTAGATGAATTATAAGAGTCTTCATGGTGTGTATAATGAAGTAGTGTTGTGAATGCAGTAATTTACAGCACAGCATGGAAGAAGGGGAGCTGAAAGCAGATATCGACCTATCATCAGTGGCTTATGAAGATGAGATCACAGTTGCAAAACTGAAAGAAGATTCAGTTCCCATACCATTTGCCTCTGCAGTAATTAAAGTAAAAGTGAGTTGTATTTGTGTGTTTCTTTTTACTTTCTGTTACACATTTGTTGGGATAACAAAAGTAAACATATCCAGAGTTGGATATGTTGAATGTGAAATATACCTTTTGGAATGTAATTTACCTTTCTGCCTGAGCTATTCACATTTTTTTTATTTCATGTTACAGATATGCATATTTTAAATGTGGACTTAGGAGACTGTAATAGCTTTTAATAATGAAGGTTTGGTACATTATAATTTTTTTATTGTTTAATAGTACTTTATGTCCCGGGCATGACGTTAAACTGCGTCCACAGACCGAGTGAGCACCGGTAAAAGCGGTCCCCCTCTACCAAGTGCCAACAGCCTCTTTGGAGGGTAGATGAGCAGGTGGAGGTTCAGGGCACCCTTATGCCCTTGGGGTGAGAAATCACCCCTAAAGGCGGATGAACTCAGATGGGTCAACGGCATAGGATGCGGAAGGCTTTAAAGATCCTCACGATATCCCAAGTATCAGCAACTCAGAAGATGAAGTTTGTTAGATATGAGGCATACACAGCTGCTGCCAACCATTCCTAGGATTGATTACAAAAGAAGAAGAAGTAGTACTTTACAACCACATAGGCAATTCAGCTTGAAATTAGGGCTCTTTATAAATTATAAATGAATTGGGATGTGGTGATAGCTGGTATTATGGTACTGTCTCGAAATTTTTGTTGAGGTGACAGAGGAATATTATGAAGACCTTTGTCAGAATACTGTTTTTTCATCCCACCCCCCTCAAAATGTTAGACCTGAGTATGAATTAAGAGTGGTATATACAGGACTAGGAAATTTATTAACAAGTCAGATTATATACCACTTGTGGGCAGTGTTATCCTAAAGAACAGTGTAACAATCAAAATTTGTTGTGTGATATGGAAATTTTGGTGTTATACCCATTTTCCCCAAACATCATTTTGTACCAGAAAATTACAGCAGAAGCAGTGATTGTTCAAGATTTTTATTCAGGAAGGTTCAGGGCTGAAAATCCAACTGTAGCTTTGGAGTAACTTGTGTTAATTGTCTTCCTTGTATTGCAGGAGGAGTCATGGGATGGAAATGCTTCAATAAAGGAGGAAATGAAGGATGAGGTTATAACAGAAGATCATGTAGCGTTACAGGAGGGGTGAGTGTTCTGGCAGTTTTTGTTTGTGATTCAGAAGAGTAATGGGAGATGCTACAGATTTTGAGGTTAACACTACCAATTACTTAGAAAATTGCAGGTTAAATTTGAAAGCTGTGAAATTGTTATATTTCAGTGTGGATGTGTGCGCCAGTGATGAGGAAGTTGGTTCATCTTTCCGGACCCTTGATGAATGGCATGACAGAAAAATTGAATGTGACAGTATGAATAATGAGAATTCCAATTTAATTGCAGTGGATATGAAACCATATCTTATTGGACAGTTGAATCTTGACTCTGTACAGTGTGCCAAATCTGAATGGGAGCATGAAGTGGAACATACTCTTTTGAAGAGGGAGGAAAGATATCACAATGCAAAAATATATAAGAAAAGTAAAAATCTTGTTTTACATCTACCGAAACAGGTTGTAAAGAAGCTTTACAAATGTGATATCTGTAGTAAAATATTTTCAAAGAGCAGCAACTTGATTCAACACAAACGGACACACACTGGGGAGAAACCTTTTAAGTGTGATGTTTGTAAAAAAGTGTTCGCACAGAGTGGAGCTTTATATACGCATCGCCATGTCCATACAGGAGACAAGCCCTTCTTATGTGACATTTGTAGTAAAGCTTTCTCCAGGAATACATACTTACTTCGACACCGACGTTCCCACACTGGTGAAAAGCCTTTCAAGTGTGATAGTTGCAGTAAAGTATTCTCTCAAAGGGATTGTCTACTTGTACATTTTAAAATACACACTGGTGAGAAACATTTCAGATGTGATATTTGTAATAAAGTATTTTCGCAGAGAGGGAGTCTCCGCACACATCACCTCATGCACAGTGGAGAAAAACCTTTTAAGTGTGATATATGTTGTAAATTTTTCTCAACAAAAAGTCAAGTTGTTAAACATCGACGGTCACATACTGGAGAAAAACCATATGGATGTGATGTGTGTTGTAAAGTATTTTCTCAAAGTAGAAGTCTCATCACACACCGGCGTACACACACGGGAGAAAAACCTTTCAAATGTGACGAATGTGTTGACACTTTTTTGAAGAGGGAGCATCTTGTTATACATCAACGCATGCACACAGGAGAACAGCCGTTCATCTGTGATATTTGTAGTAAAGTTTTTCCGCGTAAAGGAAGTCTTCTTAAACATTTACGATTACATTGTAAGTAGCATCATCAGTAAATTAAACATTTAAAATAAATGTTTGATTCACACATTTTCATGCTTTAGTAGCAAGCATTCCCTGATTTTAATCTGCTCTTAATTTCTTCATGAGTGCAATTTTGATTTGTCACTGTTATTCTGTAAAATGTATGCAATGTTAGTATGACAGAAGATATTGTGTTGGAAAAGCAATCAGGTTTTGAAAATGGGCATTCTTGTATGGATTACATTTTAACAGCAGCTGTCACCTACAAAATCTGTTCAATAAGAATAGCAGTAGAGTCATTGGTAAGGGTTATACTGTTACTCATGTTTGTAGTATTTCCTAAATGGCCAGGTTGTGTGAGAAATCATGGGCTATAAAGTTAAAAAACACCTTATATTCCCTATACTCTCCTTTAATTTATGCTACATATATTTGATGATACACAGAAAATACATTCAAATGCATTTACTCTACTTGATTGTAGTCGACTGAGAGAGACATTTCTAATAAAAATAGGTCTAAAGTCTACCTATGATTCTACTTGACATCATAACCTAGAAGAATATTGTTATTTGATGTGCTTGGTAGGTCAGTATTGTGGCTGTTTCTTTAGAGAAATTGAATATTTTGTTGCCATTGTTCATATTTACAAGGCAATGACTGATAATTTATTCATTCATCGGTTGAGAGAGGGTTCAACTCAGTAACTTGTTCATTGACTTCCTATATGAAAAAATTCGATAATGATAACCGACAACTGCTTTGGAATATTTTAAATAGGAAAGACCATATACCATCAAATGTTAACTGAATCCGTTTAAGATGTTTCTGGTGAAATGTTTGGAATGACAGACCAGAAGACTGCCATAAATTATAGGCAACTTAGGTATCCACTTTGCAGGACCTTATATGTTTCTAAATTACTATAACTGAATGATTGGTATCTTTAATGGCATCCGACTAAAAACAATAGTTTTGTCACAAATGTGATGACATAAAGTGTTTTCTTCGTAAAAAATTCCGTCATCTTTTGGTTGTGAAATTTCAGTGTTGGTGATCATGACATTTGGTATTTTGGTATTCATACATTGGCAACGTCAACGTTATAGTACGAACATCGTCTTGAAAAATGTCAGTATTTCTGTTTTGTAGGTAGACGGGATTTTGCAAAGTTTACAAATATTTCCGTGTAAATTGTCTGAGTAGGCATTACACGTTTACAGTGAAATATGTTTATTGAACAGTAAGTACAAAATTATCGGTTAACGTGAAAAAGAGGAATGTGAACAGATTGCCTGTGCTTTGCCCCCTCCCCCAATCCATTTTCTTTGTTATAAAATCTGTATAAAATACCGAAACCACTGTCGTACAAACTCGGGTTTAATTATTTAACGAAAGTTGGGTCCCGAAATGTGTGGTAATAAAGAGACCTTCCGAAAGTATGGCGTGTGTAAGATACTGTTTTGTAGAATGTAAAACAATAGGATGGCTGTAATGTTTTGTTAATTCCGAAGGATTCTGACGATGGCATGAATTTTTTGGATTTGGTCATTGTCTAGTATTCTGCAAACGCATAACGTTTAGAAGACCGAATGTCTTCAACCCCAAGTGTAAGGAAGGTGGGGGCACATATTCTGTTGGGTCCGTTAGAAAGAACTAAGGACGAAGACATTCGGTCTTCGAAACTTGTGTTTTTAGAATCAAAAATTACGTTATCTACGTTACGTAGTTGGTTTTATGTGATTACTAATGAGCCATTTTAGCTGTAAATGGGGATGTCAAATGTGAATGCTATCTTTCAGTTTGGAACCTTTTTTTATAATATATTAAGGTTAGACTAATGAAAGCTGTAATCTTACATGCTGTTCTTTGTATGGGTAATGTCATTCACTCAGTAGGCTTGTGGATGAACTCCAGAGAACCATATCAGGACATAAAAGAATGATATTTTGTAATTTTCCTTGCTCTCTGCATTAATTTGCTGAGGTAGTAGTCTTAGAAGGCTTGAATTTGAAGGTATTGACTCAATGTACAATAAGGGCTCTCCTTGCCTTCTTATTCCATGTAAGTAAAGGCGACTTTGTGGTAAATATAATATAAATGAGACCTTATTTATCTGGTTTTCTGTATCAGATTTTCATTTTCTTACAGTATAACATGGATGTAATCAAAGTGGAACCTGAGTCAGATGGTCAGACCCTCAGTGAAGAT